AGTCCGGATTTAATATGAGCTTTTTTAACAGTGACTTTTTCTTTGTCACTCTCCCATAAAGCTTTGACTGGTGAAGAGCAACAACAGTGCTGAAGTGTGTTACTCCTTCAGAGCATTCATCGGTGTCTTAACGGCCTCCCTCACTCGTTTCTTTCTTGCTCGGTTGTTCACTTTTTGAGGACAGCCTGTTCCAGACGGATTTACACATGTACCGTATTCCTATCATTTCTTAAAGATGGATTTAACTGGATTTGAAGGCCACTGCATTGTGGCCAAAGATCAGAATGAACTTGCTGAAAAATACTTGAGAGGCAACAATAAATATGTATTTGGACAAAGTAATTGATGCCAGCTCGTAACGGTTTTGGATATTTGATGCTAGAAATACATTTCGGTCGATTGTGTTATTCCAAACTGTGGTTACGGGTCCTGAAATATTTGCTGTTTGCTGTTTTCTAAGATACTGTTTCTGCAGACTTTGTGTTCGTACATGATGTGTGGAGATACCACTGAGTGTTGTGTCTATGTGTGATGAGTCAAAATCAAGTCAAAATCACTATATTAAAATACTGCAGACTGCCACTCTCTTGTGGGAAAATGTGTTTCCCAACACACAATTCTGCTGGTGTTCTGAAATGTGAAGTATGGAGAACATAATTCACAGTGTACCCTGGACCTTAAAAGTTTTTCCAGCTCTCAAACCAATGGTATAAATCAGTTATTGAGCTCTTTCCTTCCTCACCCATAGAGAAAAATATACTGGATGTGATCGTTTTTCATGGGTCCAACCGTAATTATGGTAGACACCAATGTCCTGCCCACATGCAAAACCCTTTCAATGCCAAACCTTAAACTGGCCCCATCCATCTCAGATATCAACCTAACTGCAACCTTTTCAACTTCATACCTAAACTAACCATCAAGGTTTATATCTAAACATAAACTATAACACGTAAAGCTAAACTTCTGGTTTGACAGCACTTCTGCACATCACCCTGGGGAGTATTGAAAGGCAGATATGGTGTCATGTGGGAAATCCATGCCTGTCTAGATCTACCAGCCATTCCAATAGACATAACTTTAGCAGTGTTTCTAGTCCATAGACTGCATGTGAAAGACAGACACAGCAACCGCAACTGTTCTGAAACCTTTACAGTTTGGTCATTGTTGTCTTGCTCTTTAGAAGCTGGACGGAACGTGAAATCTAATCAGACCGGAGAACCTGAGGACACTATGTGTGGTGATATAGTGATCTGTCAGTCACAATGTAGCCCAGCGACGAAGCATTCTTTGCTTTATCATCTATTCTACTGTAAATTGGACCATAATTTATGAAATACACACAACAGTATATTGAAGGAGACTCAAAACTGGCAAGTGCATAAATAAACTCAATAGGGAAATGTTTCCTAGGTAATAAATTAAAGCAGAAATAGGGTCACTTACTCATAGGCAGACTTTTTTTTACAACCAGAAGAGTTGCCCCCTGCTGGCCGTTGGTAAGAATGCTCCATTTCCTACGATCGTGGAAAAAGGCGGCGAGAAGCAGGAAACCTTCTTGCTGTTGCATTGAGTCCAATCAGTGGTTTGGCTCCCAACCATCTGAGGATAGACCACCAGTTCATACCGTTGATTGTACAGTAAAATTGTTTTTCAGACTAATGTGTTCTATAAAACAACAAAATAGCTACAAGTAATGTGTGGTTACATGTGGAAGCGTTTACTAAAGTGGATAAAGATTCATTGGCTCCTGAGTGAAGTGCACCAGAGTCTTATTCTCTAATGTTGTTCTGGACTTGCAAAGAAATCACAAGACAAATGCAACAAAATGAAAAAGAAAGGACCAAGACAAACTGCTGATCTGTCTGTTCACTGCTTATTTATAATGAAGCAATGCATTTTTACAAACTGAATGTAGTCAGATCATTTGACATTAATGTTCACAAGTTACACAAGCTTTAAAAGGACCAGTCAGGCATATATACAATAAAGACCATACATTTATAATATAAAAGTGATAAAACAAAATATAAAACAAATATCACTTCATGAACTTGCAGCATTTGGAATCCAGTATTTCTGATAAAGTAATAAACATAAGCCTTTACATACTCAGAAAGTAAAATTACTTTTTAAATAGAAAAAAAATTGCACTCCTTTGTACATTCATATAACTGACAATTTAAAAAAAAAGAAAAAAAGAAAAAAAAAAAAAATCAGATGAGCTTTACTTGCCAGCAGTCCAGAACAAACAAACCAACAATGGACAACTGAGGAAAATACACACATTTCATTATGAAACCAAATCCTTTCTCTCAAACAGCGAGAAAGCAATAATAATAAAAACACAACATCTGCCAGCCCATCTTCCATAAAATAGTGTGCTATTTACATCTTAAATAGTTTTTTCTTTTAATTTTTCACAGACTCCGGTCAAAAAAAAAGGTTTCAGGAAAGTTTTTATTTGCGTCCACTTAGAAGTACACAGATGTGCGAACACATCAGGTACTTTTTTTTTTTCTTTTCTTTTTAAGGCTGATCAGATTCATCACTGCAGACGGATGCTGTAGACGGAGGGTGATGTTATCAGCATCACTTGCTACCTCATTGAATCAAAAGGTCATTTTGGCAAAAGGTTTTGGTAGAAAATCGGAGAGGCAGAGAAGAATTTACTTTCCCATCTTGCCTTTTATGTTATAGTTGTATAAAACACATCTAGGCACTACAGTATGTACATACATAGCTTGATATCATTTGGCGATATCTTAAAGACCTGACGTTTTCATGTGACCCATGTCTGTTACTCTGCAACATAAGTGTATTCCCCTGCTCACTGTGTCTGTGTGTGTTTTGTGTTCACTGTTTGACAATGCATTAGTGTTTGGTTATGCTTTAAATTGCATATTTTCCTGTTTGTACCTTTTCAATTCCTTATTCGTTTAATGGCTTATGAGCTTTAAAACACGACTCGTCCTGAAGCATACTGACAAACATCTTCTCGTACATCTTGTGCGCCAAAGTGGTTCCGATGATGCGGCTGATCTTCTTCAGGCCTTTGAGCAGGTAGCGCGGCGCCCCCTGGCTGCGCAGCACCCTTAGACTGTGGGACAGACCTTTGGCTAGATCCAGATTGTGGTTTTCTGTTTTCCAGAGGTGTAGCAGCTGCAGAATGTACTGTCGGGGCAGGCAGGCAGAGACCACGGCCCGGATGTCCTCCTCCTGAACCTTCACCCCAGGCAGGCTGTTGGTGACCTTCAGGAGGTCATCCAGGGTCAGGTTTTTTAGATTGTTGCAGCGGGAGACTTTCCTCTCACAGTGGTTCACACCTGGAGGTACAGGATGCTAATATTAACACACTAAAGCAAAACCGGAATAGCCACTTCCTAAAATTAAAACTAACATTAAAGAGCCCGTATTATGCTCACTTTCAGGTTCATAATTTCATTTCTGGGGTATACTGGAATATGTTAGATATTCAAAAACCACATTCTTTTCATCATAATGAGCTTTCTGTAGCACCTCTTCTCACTGTCTGAAATGCTCAGTTTTAGCTCCTGTCTCTTTACAGAACCCCTCCTAAAATAACTCTGATTGGTTCGGTGACCTTTTGAAAGTGGGGCCACATTAGTGGATCTTATAGTTTGGGGATGTACCCCCAGTGGAAGTGACTTTAAGAGGATCTAACTGCAGACTGTGAGGCAGCTGCTCTTTATTTATCTGAGGACCAAACTAGCCACCAGGCAGACGCTATGCAATTGTGTTACATGATGACATAGATAAGTAACAGAAGAAAAGCCTGGACTTAAAACGGGGTGTTTTCTGTGGGACACAATATCTCCTTTTACTTTGTACTTTGGCTTTGTGAGTTTTCAGGCCTTTTACAAGGGACCCTCCCCCCAAAAAATAGAAACAAAATTTGGGCTCTTTAAAGGTGCCATATGTTTCCCTGACTCCTACCCTGTATGATGCCATACAGCTTGTCCTGGTCCTTGTTCTGCTCCCTCCACAGTCTCAGCAGCTGGAGAACCTGCTGCTGGGGCGAGCAAGCCTTCTTCAGCCTCTCCAGGCTCTTTCGGTCCACCCTCCGCCCAGGAAGACTCTCCAGCAGTCGCTCCAGGGGCACAGAGGACAGTCGCAGCGAGGCCAGCGACTGGAAGACCGCCTCCTCACAAAGAGTCACGTCTGGTGTAAATTACAAGAAAAAGTGGGCTTCAGGGCAAACTAATGATGATGTTGATTGAGATCTTACATGATAAAAAATGTTACATGGTGCAGCTGGAGGACATGCTTAAAACAAGGAGGAATTCCTTATTTTCCCTCATTCAAACCCTGGTGAATTCAGTACGCTCAGCAGTTTTGCTGCGGTGCGGCGTGTGTGTGGCGGCACGCTAGCTCATGTTAGTAGACTTAAAATAGATTTCGCTGTGACATTTGTGACTCAGCTTGCTGACGCAGTGACATGACAGTTTCCTACGTTATACCATTTAAGTTTAGTCAGCATTTGCCATTGCTACACTTCAGCGATCTGGTGGCGGCAAAAACTCGACTCACGTTGTTCACCACTGTGCTACCAGTCAATGAGGGAATCAGGAATGGAAAGATAAAAATCGTTTTGGTGTTCACGTGTAGCCGGAGGCAGGTTCACTGATTCTGAATATACTACATCTCATCCCTCCACTTTTGCATGTGTCTGGATTTGTTTAGATGTGTTTGTGTGTGTTTAGAGTGTTGCCTCGTAATTTGACCGCAGCAGATTTGCACGTCTCCTCTTTCTGTTCCCCATTGACAGCACAGAACCACCACTGACATCAGTCTGACGAGCCAAGCAGAACTTCGCCCATGTCTGTTGCTCTGCAGCAAAGTAACCAGAGCTGCAGTTTTTTTTTCACAGGCAGCTCATGTCTTCTAAACCTTCCTTAAAAGGGAAAAGCATTTTTGTAAAGAGCAGGTTTCTTTGCCAAATTTGTGAAACCTAAGAGGTTCCTGACACAGTTCACATATCCAGGAAAATTCGAGCCGTAGATGATGTGAAACTGATGACATGAAATAGCAACTTTTTTTAAATCATTATGAAGCATTTTCTGTTTGTATGTATGTGTGAAATTTTTTTCTGATTGACTTGCAGTAAATATGGGAAAAGGGTTCAGCGAAACCAGTGTCTGATTGAGTTTAAGGCAAAGAGGACATTTGGCTTCTTTCTCCGAAGCCTGGGTGATGTAACTGTGGCTTCCTCTGTAATTGACACTGACATCCCGGTGGTTTCTCCAAATCACATGGCAACTTTGGGAATCCCAACTGCTTTCAATTTCACATTTTTGTTAAAAAAAAAAAGCTAAACTGTTCCAGGATTTGCTGCAGACAATCTGTGGTTGTGTAGTTCACAGGAAGACAATTTGTGAATGAATATTTGAGGAGAGCATCACCCTCCCTGCGGGACAACAGCTCGGTGTGTTTTCTTCGAAGTGTGGTGCTCAGTGTGCACGAGCGTGTCTTTACGTCTGCATGTGTGTGTTCTGCAGTGACTGTGGTTTCTCAGACTCTGGGAATTTAGTGTCATATTTGAGGCTTCTCTTCTCGAATTAAATTTCAGGATCTGTCATAGTTAAAGTCTGAGTAACAAAGACTAACCAGCTCGTCTTGTGTTTGACTCAGTTTCCTCTGTTATTGTGTTGGAGGATGTGACAGTTAAAGGAGTAATTGATCCATCATGGCTGATTCTGACAACAGTGCCATAAACATCCAGTTCAACCCTTGGAGTTTTTTTTTTCTTTCTCTTGTGTTGGTTTTCAGACACGCAAGAATTTGGAAGAGAATGGAATCTGGACAACGAACCTGACCGAGGAAATCCCCTGCCTGCAGGAATGAAAATGACCACATGTCTGAAATAATTCAGTTCTGACTGATTTTAAGTTGTTGACAATTGAGGTTTACTCAAAAACATAGTTGCATATGTGTGCGTCTGGATATAAACTGTACCGATGATCTGTACGCTGATTGCACATCAGCCCTAAAACCTTCCATATGATTCCTGCTGCAGCATCACTGTGAGTGTGTTTTCTCACCAGTATGGCACACAGTGTTTTGCTGGGAGCAGCCCACTCTCTTGTCGCAGAGGCTGTCTGAGGTGGACGTTCCCCATCTGAGCGTCTTCAGACCCATATCAGAGCAGTTTCTGTGGGGCTGACATGGCTCTGTGGAGGAGCCGCCGGCTGAGAAGTGACCGTCTGGGCAACGTTCACAAACTGTGTCGCTCACAGGTGTACCTGGAAGAAATGTACACAGAATTATTAAAACTGGCATGTTTTAAACTGTGGAAATTGCATGATGTGAAACCCATCAGCAGTTCTCAGTGAACATGACCTACATCATTCAGCTCATCAAACAAGCTGATGTGATTCTAAGAACCGCGACCGCAGTGACATGTGACGGCCCGGCAGGACCACAGATGACTGTGTGATTCTGAGAATGACTCATGTCCGACTATGAGTCACTACACCTTCGTTTCCTTATCTTGTATCCGATGCTCTTACTATGATGGCATGTGACTTCAGCTGTGCCGCGAAGTGATTC